TGCTTCCAAGGCATCGGGAAAATAACGTATTTTCGTGAGACTACCTTTCGATTAACTTGAATTTAAAAAATATGGAAGAATAATTAAGAACGAAAGTAATAACATGATGGACAATAATAATAAAAAATAAGAAAGAAAAAAGCCCTTTTGGAATTGATTGTCTCTGACTATAAATTGATGTGCATTTTGGCCGAGGGCGATTTATCGCCCGAGGCCTGAAAATTTTTGAAAGAATCTCCGGTTCTGGCGAGAAATCACAGGTCCGACAAGCTTAGTCACTTCCTTACAATCTGAATTTTGGCCTGAAACTTGGCTTGAGACTATACAAAGCGTAAATTATTTATAGAAATCATTTATATATCGACATGAGATGATTCAGTACAAGAAGTAGATCAGTTTTGATAAAATAAATAATTTATTAAAATAGTGCAGTAGAATTGATATTGTTTACAATATTGGTATGATATTAAGGCTTACGGCATTATGAGCTTTATAGGAAACAGATCAAGGATCTCATATGTTAACCACAATCTTAGAATTACGATATTAATCATCTAAATTGAAGATATATTAGACTAAAAATTTGATTGATGCTCTTATTGATGCACAACGATATGCAAAATTATGGCGAGCTGCTCAGCGAGAACTTTTTGACGCTCGTGCTTGCGCTCGCAACGACACAAAGATAAAGTAAAGATAATAATTTTTGTCTGAAAATTTACAAAATTCGAATGTTTTTGAAAGAAATAATTAAGATCATATTAGAAATTCTTTTCTTCAATGCTTGAATTGATTCTTGAAAAAATAAATTCTTTGAGGGGCCTATTGAATGTTTTGAGAACAACTCATAGAATTGTCAGCTTATATCGGCGCGCGGCGAAGCCGCGCGCCGATAGATGCGATATATATAGTGCTCCCAAAATCTCAGTAGTGAGGGCCCCTCAATATAAAATGTAAACCTCTGTGTATTGAATTGGGATTTGTAAACCTCACTACTCTAATTTTGATTGAGAGGGCAAGGCTCTGGACGCTTAATTTGAGGGCTTTTTTTTCTATGAGATTAAGAAAAGTTTTAAGACGAAGATTTTTACTATCTATATACAAGACAAAGAATAATAATAAATAGTTTTTTTGGAAAAAAAGACGATAGGAATTATCAATGAAATCCAATTGATTTTGGGTCGAAATTAAGGAATACATACTAGCTTCCATGTAGTATCCTCTTTTCGAAATGAAATTTTGTAATTTGGCAAAAAATCCAAAATAAAATTTTGATTTGGAAGAATTTTGAGCTTTGTTACTAGAAATTCAGATTTGTTGTTCTAAAACAATGTGACCATACAAATAATGGAAACATCCAGCAGGAAATGATTTGAATTTGATGGCGAATTAAGAAATTCTACTTGATCTTTTAACGCAAATGGAAAAGCATCCATTTTCTGCTAGTTTGGGATTGCTTTTCGGCTTGTTAATTCATTTATCCATCATACCACGAAAATAATAAACGAGCATTTTTTGTTCAGAAAATTGAAATTGCATTGTTTCATCAGTATTGATGCAGAAACTAACTGTTATATATCAAAAATCATTAAAATGTCTTGATTTTGAGTTTCAAAATATTAATGATTAAAAATGTGACCCAAATTGCAAATTTTTAATAAAACCAAGTAATCCATGATGCATACTGTTATAAATTTATGAGAAAGACAGGACTAACAAAATTAGATGTTTACATTTATTCAATATTCAAAATCTTTATTTTGAATTATCAATATAATTAAATCATATTGCATTTCATGCACTTTTTTTCCATCCATGTAAACCTCGATGTCACTTTTGCGGCCTCGCTCCGCTCGGCCGCAAAAGTGACATCGAGGTTTACATGGATGGGTTCTATATATATACAGCTTGACCGGTAGAAAAGCGGATCGATTTTTATCAATAATTGGACATTCTATTTTTAATAAAATAAACATATATTTATATGGGAAATTAGGGAGATCTGAAACTCAAAAATTATTTTTGAATTTTAATATGATGAATGTAATTATGATAATATGTACATTACAAATAAAATATTAATTCGGAACAACGATGAGATGTGATAAATTTGATTCTCTCAAAAATCGATTTTGGGGTTTTAATATTAATTTGTATCTTATATGCATATAGGATATATAATAATTTTAAAACAGCAAAAAGTGACGATTTGCGGTTAGAAAAAGTCATCAAAACACTTTTTAATGATTTGATTTAACATATGCATAGACCATCTCTTTGATATTTAACTTCAATTTCCCGAAATGAAAAGGATTTGAACAAAAACGATTATTTTACGATCATTTTTTGTAAATTTTTTTAAATTGAGACTGACATCTCTAAAATCATCTAAAAAATTCAAATATCAAATAAAATAATATCATTAAAATTCCTCTCAATTTAAAAAATTTTTATAAATTGAGACTTCAATCTCTAAAATCTTCTAAAAAATCCATATATCACGAAAAATCACGATATTATTTTTATTCTCAATTTCAAAATTTTTTTTTTGTACTGACTTTCTTTGTCCATAACAGCATGGCAGAAATTTGAAACGAAGTTTCAAATTTCTCAAGCTTGCATTCTGGGCACGTAAGTGCCCAGAATGCTAAAAGGCGCGTAGCGCCGTCTCTGAATATCAAATTTATTATAATTATTAATTTATGAAATTTCAAATAAAATCGATCTGTTATAACACACTGGTGCATGACAGCCTTGTCTCTCAAAAAATTGAATTGCTATTCAACTGCGATTTTGAGATGACTATATATGAGACTAAAAATATTTTTTTGTCATCTTTAATTAAATCAAATTAGCTATCTAAATTTCATATTTTCGTGACTTACTTTTGACCATTTTCGGTTGCAATTTTTAATCGTTTTTAAACTAATAGCATATATTAATTTGTGTTATATTATACTGTGGATTGATCCAGTTAAATATCCGAAAATTACATGATCAATTAATTTCAAAATTAAATCAGGTTCAAAATCCGATTCCAAGTGGTTATTTTTGTTCCCAATCATATGAGATATCACAAGCAATTATAAAAAGAAAGACACAAAAAGTGACAAAAGACACTCACAAAAAATATTGAGAGGAGTTTTGCTATTTACTTCACATTCTCCAAATTTGTGAATCAGACTTAGAATTCAAGCATGATATAACATCATTGGTTTAATTTTGATATAGGTCAGATTCTCATCTATAAATATTCATTAAATACCTTTTTATTTGGAAATAAATTTCAAATATTCTTCCCATTCTCAATATATTTCACTTACATCTTTCTATTATTAGGTGCATAAATTGATTACATAAGGAAATTCTTCTAAGTCATACTCTTGCAAAATTGAAATTCAAAATTCATTGAAATTGTTCAAAATCGTTAATAATTAGATATTAATACATCTCAACCTATATATTATCTACTAATTTATCTATTTTAATTTTCTGCCAAAAATTGAGACCACATTAGCCGTTTTTTGCCAAAATTGAGACTTCAATCTTTAAAATCATCTAAAAAATCCAAATCAATAATAAAATTGTGCCTATAAATTTCCTCTCAATTAAAAAAATTGAGACTTCTATCCCTATATTTATATATATTAATAAAAATTTAAATGAATATTTTTATTGTAAATTGTAAATATTAATACATTATTGATATCTGCTTATAATAACATACTTATACATCAATTAAATATATAAAAATCTCATAACTAACTTCGAAATGCTGGACTGCTTGTCTCAAATTATAAAAATCTGAAATAATTGATTATTTATAATAAGCATAATGTGCATTCCATAGATTTACAACTTTATGTATGATTTTGTGTGGTTTAGAATAAAAATTAAAAAAGAATACACAACTTTATGTAATTAGTGATTAAAATTAAAGTTTTATTAACAATTAAACTTAGAAAATATGAATGTACATGATAAAATCCCAATTGAGGAACTGGTGCCAAATATGACTAAATAATCGAATGGAGCCTTGGAGTAGAACTCGAGGAGAGGCATCTTAGGTGTAACTTGGTAAATAGTGAGTATTAATGGACCGTCAAATTTGCTTTATAAACTGCGAGTTAAAAGGCGTACCTACGTTCAACTTTTTGAGAGAAGTCATACAATTAATTATATGAGTTTATCTCAAAAAGTCGATTTCTGCCAGGTACGCCTTTTGGACCGCAGTTTATATGAGGGAACAGCTTTCAATTATTTTGAATAGTTTCGAATTTTTGTGTTTTTTTATAAAAATATGAAAATGGATTACATTATAAATGATATAAATTTTTGGCACAAAAAATTGTGAATGTGAAAAAACGTTCGTTCAAATGAAGTGTACGGCTACTCAAAATCAAAGAAAAATATCAACTTTATGTATGAAATTGAGACGAAGTCTCAATTTCGTGCATAAAGTTTGTAAATATTTTGCACTTTTTCAATTCGTCTTTCAAATTTTGAGATGTTTTCAAAATTAAAATCCAAAAAAATATTGAAAAAGTTCATAAAGATTTGCGACCTTTTTTGCGCTTTTTGAATTTTAATTCAAAATGTGCAAAAAGGTGCAAAATATTAATCTTCATTTACAACTATTTAATTTTTCAAATTACACTCAAAGATAACAAATCTTATAGTCACTTAATATTGTTGTCACTATTACAAATTCATTAAAAATTTCCTTTTGTGATCGCATTGAAATTCGGTCATCTGTTATTCACAAAAATACACTTTTTTTTCTAATATAACGATGATAATTTTTTAAATATATATATATATATAAAAACATTTTGAATTATACATAGCGGTCATTCAATTTTGAACTACCTCTAAAACTTCCTCAAAAATTTAATGCCATCATTTTTGTTATTGAAGTGATCTTTATAATATTTTTATTTGCAAAAATTTGAAAACATTTCAATTTCCGAAATTATTTATAATTGTTTTGTTATACTTTTATGGATTCATCAACCACTACAAGTTCTCCTGAATCCATTTATGACTTTCTTCAAAAGATTTTCGGGCAGGATGCAGAATTGGCCGTATTATTTGAACCACTTAACCCTGCAAAACCAAAAAATCCAAATGATCCAAGAGATCCTATAGATATCACTTTGGATCTAGTTCGAAATTATATTGAAGCCATGCCATTACCAATTCCAAGCCGCTTAGATCAATTTTCCAAGAAAATCACCCCAATCATGGACGATAACAAAATAGAAAATATTTAAAATTCATTAGAACTTTGAACGACATCGAACTTGATCCAACTCCGACTAAACCAGGGAAATATTTTCTTATTGGTGACATTAATAGAAATATTTTGAGATCACCAAAATTGTTCCAATTTGTAATTTCGGACAAAGTCATAGAGAAATTTTATCAGCACAAAGCTTTTGGTGAGATCAAAATTTTTCCAAAAAAAGGATCTTTTTTCGGAGCAGTATTCCAATGCGAATCTCAAGCTTATTATACGAAAACTAATTGCCAATATCCTTATTCAAGAAACCCAGATTTCTTCTCTCCTGGAAAAATTTCAAAAACAACTCATTCATGTCCAAAAGAAATTCTTTGTCTTCCTCATCTTAATGAACTATTCGTGTATATGGTGCTCGATATTCTCGGCTATGGTCCGGAAGTTGACTTTGTTGTAAATCCTTACATTACCCGAGGACTTTATATCATATCTAAGGACTTGAATTTGCCAACAGGTCAAAACTCAATTAAATTTTCGATTAAGGTCAGGTGAGTGGGGCTTCCAGGGGCTGCGCCCCTTCTAGCCCCTAAGAAATGGACACAAGAACGTAGAGGAGGACCGAACCCCAGCCGACCAGCCGGTGACACTTTTTATGTCGCTTTTCACAAATTATATATGTTTTTCATGTTTCGTCACTTTTTCTGTCACTTTTCAGGAAAAAACATTTTTATTATATATATAAAATGAATTTTACAAAACCACCGTTACCCTTCTTTGGAAATAAGAGTAGATGTAAAGATATTCTATTGAGAGAACTTAAGAAACTACCGAATGGTCTAACATTTGTAGATTTGTTCGGTGGAAGTTTCTATATATCCCATTTGTGCCATACTGTATTTCCTGACTCAAAGATTATATGCAATGACTTCGACAACTATATGAACCGTCTCAAACATATACCAGACACAAACAAAATATTGAGTGAGTTGAAAGAAAAGATACCTATAGGTAAGATGGAACGTATACCATTAGATAAGAAAAATATTGTCAGAGAGGTTTTGGAAAAAGCAGAGTATATAGACTGGGATAGTATATCTTCTAGACTATTATATAGTGGTTCTATAAGAGTTCATGACATTGAAACACTTATGTCAAACGTTTTATATCTTAACTATACAAAGGTTTTCAAAGAGAACATAGAAAAATATACTGAGGGTATAGAGTTTGTGAGATGTCATTGGACAGAGTTGTATGAAAAATATAAAAACAAGGAAAATGTTTTCTTTATAGTAGACCCGCCGTTCTATAACACATACGATTTTCAATACCAAGTAGACTGGACTTTGAGAGACTCTTTAGAAACTTTAGACGTTTTACATAACCATCCATGCTTTTACTTTACATCCGATAAAAGTGTGGTTGGAAACCGTTATGAGATGGTTAGAGGACATACATGACTATGAGTTTAGATATGACAGGATAGAATATGAGAGAGGTCCTATAAACCGGAAAAAGTGTCACAACAAAGAAATTTTATTGGTAACTAAATGTGGTTTGAAATAGGACTACTTGTTTTAGGTTTTTTCCATTGTGTCATTTACTTATTTGACGTGGCAGAAAGGTACAGAGAATATGAAGATGAACCAATGTCTGCAAATGTTCAGCATATGTACTCGTAAGAGATATTTTTATCTAATATTAAATGGACGCACAGAACTTAGCGAATGCACAGCAACCCGGACAACCAAACCCAGAGAATATTCCAAATGAAGTTCGAGTACAAACTGCAATGGCAAACTATGGTCAAGTGCCAACAGATGTACAAATGCAAACTGCCATGTCAAATGACGCTGCGTTAGGCTTACCACCATGGTATGCAAATATGAGATGGAAAGAGTTTTATACAAACCCTGAAGTGGGATATAAACAACTCTATGCAGATGACGCGAACACAGGAGTTGACCCAGAGTATGTTTTCTACCAGAGGAGAAATAGAATGTATGAGCTCCAGTTAAAGAATGCAATGGAACTCAGAAGGAAACGTAAGAGACTAGGCGGACATTAGATTTTTACATATAGTAAAATGGGTTTCTTCAGTAGTATTGGAAACTTCTTTCGAAATGTTGGAAGAGGTATATGGAATGGAATAAAATCTGTCGGAAGAGGAGTATGGAACGGTGTCAAAAATATTGGTAAAAGAGTAGGTCAGTTCGTTGGTATTATACCTAAAGACCCTGAACCAGAAGAACAAGCTCCTGTTATACAACAGCCTGAACCTGCACCACAGTCTAGTTGGCAACCAAATCCAACACCTCAACCATATTAAAAATTATATTTTTACCGTTCGATAGTAGTTGTATATGAAACTAAGTTCTAAGTAAAATGCATGGTATAATGGAACTATTCTCTTTCTTCCATCTGTTGTAAACCATACTTGAAAGTCTGAAATACTTCCACTCGGTGGTTCATATAGCTTTGTAGGTTTTTCGTAAAAGTCATTTGCCAAGCATAAAAAAGAGTTTTGTGCACCAGAAAATGAAGCATGAACTATAATAGCATCTGAGTCGAAAACATTTTCATATGTTCCATTAGGGTTTGAGACTTCATAATAGTCCGGGTGTACTGGATACCATGCAGGCTGATTTAACATCCTCAAAAATCTATGCCATGCCAAGTTGTTATATTTTGTAGAAATATAAACGTTTTCTCCAAGGTCTTCTATTTTATTGATTTTAACAGTTGCATTTTTCCTGTCATATATAATATCGAGATGGTACTCTCCTTCGTCAATGTTAAACTGGTTTGCATATTCGAGATAGATATCGTTTATTTTTTCTTGAAAAGCTTGAAGAGTTGTTTTCTAAGTTTACAAGCAAATTCACTTGTAAAAGTTTTCCCTGTTCAAATTTCTCATACATACGTTTTTCTTTGTTATAGTATCGAACTTCAAAACCGACCGTAAATGGGAAACCATGTATGGCTTCTGAAATGAACTTCATTCTACGAAAGCCAATAGCTTTTGTGACGGATGGGTCTCTTAGCCATCTTAACGGGTAGTCAAAACGATAGCCTTCATGCTTTACGGTCTCTGTCTCAAACTTTTGACCGACATTAGTAAAAAGTTCATCTAATGGTTTAGTTGTAGCAACTCTAGAAGTTTCCTTTTCTATTGAAAGCATATTTTATCTAGAATAAAAATGTCAAATGAAACAGCGTCTATGAGAGAAATAAAACACAACCGACAACTCATTATACAAGCTCTAAATAAGAACACAACAAACTTTTCAAACTATTCTAAGATATCTGAGTCATTGAAAGAAGGAAGCTTAAAACTGACATTAAACCCAATGACAGATGAGTTTCTGTTTCAAGACAACAAGAACCATACTGTTTGTATAAATCCAACAAAAGGAACCTTAAACGAGAAACCTATAAAAGAACTTCTTTTGAAAGCAGATGTTGACAACAAAGCTGACAAAGAGTATGTAGACGATGCAATAGCAAAAGAAGAAGAAAGAGCTAACAAAGCTTATGCAACAAAAGAACATACTCATCCTGAACTAGCAGACAAAACATATGTTGACAATAAAATGTCAAGTGAAGTGACAAGAGCTGAAAACGAATATTCTAAAAAGACTCATACACATACCATTGCAAATATTACAAACTTACAAGAAACCTTAAACAAGAAAAGTGACGTTGGACATACACATACTATATCTGAAATAACAAACTTACAAGAAACCTTAAACAGGAAAAGTGACGTTGGACATACACATACCATTGCAAATATTGCAAACTTACAAGAAACCTTAAACAGGAAAAGTGACGTTGGACATACACATACATCTTCTGAAATAACAGACTTAAACGTTAGCCTTGAAAAGAAAGCAGATAAAAACATATGTCAATGAAATATACCAAAGTTAGTTGGAACAACAAAAAAATATTGAAACTATGGTTGGTGACTTTTCTGTCAATGAAGAAAACAAATATTTTAGATGGGAGTTTGTACATTCCTTAAGAAATGGTATACGTATAAACTCATTCCGAAAAATAACAATGAAAGTATGTAAGCTATATAAAGAACGATGGTACACAAGTTAAAGTTCCATTAGACAACAACTGCTACTTAAACTTATATGAGACGAAACAAAAGAAATATTAAGAGTTTATGAAATGGCAGATATGACATTGCCTGACCATCTCCAGCACCATATTATTATAAGTATGGAGATGACGACAAAACACCGCATGTAGACCCAAAAAAGCAAACATTATATTTAGAATATTATAGATATAAAAGATATAATGCAATAGAAAAACGAGAATAGTTAACTATTATGAAGATGACAGAAATAAATATTATAGTCAAGACTTTACCTACCCTGAAAACATAAGATTATATTATAAAAAATATTCTGACACAAACCAGAAGAAACCTGAAATAGTTGCACTATATTTTAAGTTCAAAAGAGACAATCCTATAATATCTCATATGTGTTGATTTAATGAACCCAGTAGTTCTATTTATACATCTATGGATGAAGAGGTCTCAAGCAATGTTTGGTGTTGGTGCATGGGAACAAATACTCGAAAGGTTTTGTATTGTGCAAACTCTTCAAAGGAAACAGGTGGAAGTAAAACGATTTCAGGTGAAAACTTACCTGCGCATAGTCACTACGTAGATTTAAGTACATCTCAAGCAGGTTGGCATAAGCATAGATATTGGGATTGGTCAGCAATGACAAAAGGTAAAGGATATGATGTTAAAGACAACGTTAAGTTTGCTATAGATTGTTTCTGGAGTAACACTGAGGGAGGAGGAAACCATACACATCGCGTTTCAGGGTATACGCAAACAACGGGACGAGGTAAAAAATACATGCCACCTTACATGACAGTTTGTGCATGGTATAGAATTGCTTAGTCGTCATTTTCAACTTCTTTAGCATATTCGTCTGGAGTTGTCTTATATTTGTTAGGAACTGTCTTTGAAAGTATACCACCTTGAACCTTAACAAGTTTGAAACG